GCTCTGTAGACAAGGAAGAACTGTTCATAGTAGTTTTGAAACATGTACTGAATCATAATTTTCTTTATATCTTTGGTACTGTCTCTTGGTACACTCAAAGTTGTTTTTGCAGATGTGTGTGCATTGTAATGTAATGTAATGTAATAAGTGATATGTTGATATCACAAAACTCAGTCGTAGAGCACCAACAGGTGATTTACTGATCCTTGGCAGATATTTCATGAAGATTTGTAAACCGAATGCTTCCCTCAAAATCAATTGATTTGATTTTGAGTTTGAACTTATTTTTGTTCACAGCTCAATGTCAAGATGCGAACCTTTCAGAAGAGAATACAGTGTTGAGATACCGTTACTTTATAAAAATTGACCATCATCAAATGGGTATAGCACAAGTTTGGAAATGGTTTTGAATTTGTTAAATCCCTAGAAATTTTGTAATGCTACTACAACAATATGACCCCTGCTTGTTTTGTCTTTCATGTACAATGCACAATTTCACCTCTCGGTGAATGTAAATGAAAATTGGTTGATATCTGGTGCATACGTGGCAAACTGAACACTGCCCTCTCAAGTTCAAATTGCAGAAAACATTGCAAAATCAGTTTTGATATGATAAACAAAAAAGACATACAAGAAAAAAAATCCTAATATGAATGAATATTTTCTCACCTCATTATGGCTTTCTCTAACGCTTCCAAACCGTGTCGCAATGAGTCTTCGACAAGAACCGAATCCAGTCTTGGCCTTTGGGTGGGCTGCTGTGAACTGCTCCTGTATGGCATTGTTTATTTGCCCTAACGCAAACTCCGCAATAATGGCGTGACTGCTATCATTTTTCACCCACGAATCAAATCCCTGACAGATGCATAGATTGGGTTGTATGCGTGGTATGTCATAGCATGATCTGTTGACTGAGATCAGTGACAATAATCCATCTCTTTGTACGCTGTATTTCTTATTTACATTTTCAACTTGTGTTTGTTTCTTGCTTGGCACTAAGGACTTCATCATGTAGTGCAAATCCAAAATGCTGACAAGCCTATATTGATTTTTGGATAAAGCGTTCATTCTCACAGGCCCAAGAACGTTGCTAACTGTCTTAGGAACAATAATAAAGAGAAAAGGATTAAAAAGTTCAATGCGTCCCTCTTCTGTTCCTTGGATATATCTTCCATATGCATTGCCATGATCTGCATACATAACTGTCAAAGCATGCTGTTTAGAGAGTTTATCAACTAATTGTGAAAGATCCTTATCCAGAGTTTGCACTCGTCTACCGGAATCTTCATGAGCCACATTTAGAAGAATATTGTTAAAATAAGGATGGCCAGTTTCATTCATTGCTTTTATGTACTGCTCAATGTACTCAAAAATATACTCGTGTTGGTACCTGCCATTGTAACAGACAGCATCTGGCCCATGAAATGGATCATGGTGATTATTCACCCGAAGAATCTCGCAACTTGATAGTGATGCATCAAATCGGTCAATCCCAGCCTTCTTCAGGGCATGCTGGAATATCCTCCATCTATGTGCTAAACTGCTTTCCTTTGACATCGCCAGAAGATCCTTCACAATTCCCCATTCCCAGGTCCAACATAAATCCTCTATCCAAGTAGTCTCATAGCCAACCTTTCTGAATTCATTCAACATTGCACCTGTGTTCAATGCTTTGGGCGGCAAGTCTAAAATACCAAATGGCTTTTCAACATCGTAGATTTCACCGGAGAAAAATGCTTGCAGATTTTCGTAAGTACGTCCTTTCAATGACTGCAATAACTTATAATCAAAGACGACAGCATGTTTGTGTGTATTAATCTGCTGGAATTTTTCAATTGTTTTTGGCAACGATCTAAAGAAATGATGTCTGGAGATGGAATCTAACATGATCATGTTAATATTAATTTTTTTATCAGTGGGTGCTACTCTCGGCTTATTAACATGCTGAGGCAGTATTAAAAGCTGATGAGCATAGTGCCCGATTTGATTCATTTTACCACCAATAAACATATCGTCTTCGTAAGTTTCATCACTTTCGTAGTCATACCCAGCATACTGTGATTTTTCATCATCCACTTCGCTTGAATCAGACGATAATTTTCTACATTTTATAAAAACAAACCCATAATGTTTTACTTTGCTTTTTCCTGATGTTAAGTCCTTGATGAAATCTTGCAGTTTTGCAATGGATGGAAATTCCTGCCATTCCAGTGTTCCTGTTGAATCATGTATATTTGCCATGGAAACTGTCTTCTCAGGATCACAAATATCATTGTAGCATCTAACCATGTTATTCGTCTCCTAGTGAGGTAAACATATTTGAGTATTTGAGCACTTTCTTAGGGTCTTATAAAATGGGGGTAATGCCAACTTTACAATCATTGAAGAGTTATGACATGCTACACATACAATTCATGTATTATTAAAATGAATTTGAATTTAAAAGGTTTTCCAAATTTATTTTGGCACTTTTTTCCCGGCATCAAAGCTGAGCCTCCATTTTAAGGATATAGTATATTGTTGCATGTCATTACGAGGTGTAAATTCTTTGTAAATTTCTATTACTATTAGCCCAGTTACATCGCTAATTTTGTAAATCCATGGCCCTAGAATTAAATAATATAATAAATTTGTATTTAATATGAATGAATAAATATAAATAAATAAATTTGTTTTTAATTTGGTATTTTGAGTACCACAACCAAAACGCAGATATTTTAATACAAATTTAGTAGTGATATTAAATATTTGTAAATATTAAATATTATTCAGTTAGTTACCATGTACCTTTAAAAAAGGATTTAGCTCCATATATTGAATCAAAGTACAATGGATTAACACTGTTTTGGATTCAATGGTAATTCTTCATGCTGTTCATTTGTTATTGATTTTTCTACATACCTCATATTGTTGAAAATACTCACAATGATACATGTCACATAAATATGACACTTACACCAAACGATTAGAAATATTTCTTTTTGTCTGGCACTATGGATGTATTTACAGAGTAACATGTTGCATGGCACTTTGAGTCAAATTTGTGTGCTGCACAAAAGGTTTTCCCTTTAACCTTTTAACCACCAGCTCCCTCTCCACAAAATACTCCTGTTTATAGTCTGCACTTTCCTTCCAAAAAATGGGACAAAAGTAGCCACATTTTTTGAGTAAAAACTGAAAATTGACTCAAATTGTGTCTGTTGACTCTAAATTTAGAATTCATTTTTAGAAATATTGAAGAATATAAGAAGGGCGGAAAAAATTGGGACGAGAAGGTCAATGTGGTGAAAAGGTCAAAGATGGTGTTATCACCATGTCTGTATTATCAAGTAAACAATAGGATCAAGTTATATGCTCATTTTATCTAATGATGTGAGACAATTCATAGAGATTTAATGGGGCTTTGGAACTACTGTATTAGTTATAGTTAATACATGGCAGATCTGATGGTCTGAATGTACACAGATCAGATGGTCTGAATGTGCACAGATCAGATGGTCTGAATGTGCACAGATCTGATGGTCTGAATGTACACAGATCTGATGGTCTGAATGTGCACAGATCTGATGGTCTGATAGTGCACAGATCTGATGATCTGAATGTGCACAGATCTGATGGTCTGAATGTACACAGATCAGATGGTCTGAATGTGCACAGATCAGATGGTCTGAATGTGCACAGATCTGATGGCCTGAATATTCAAATTTCAGTGTGTTTGAAATACTTTATTTTAGCTGGAATTAATTTTCATGCCAAGTGTATGTACTAAGTAAGAACAAAATCTATCTGTAAACAGCCGAGAACTGTTTCCTGAATGTAAGAAATGCTTGATTTTGATTATTTTACAGCACAAAAAAGGGCACCATTCGGCCATCTTGAATCAGATTGGAAACAAATTTCAGTGCATATAAATGGAATCAATCCAGTCATGTCTAAAATGTAGGTCCGGACACATACACGAACACATGCACAGATGTACACACAGAGGTCAATTCATCACTAAATCCGAACGAGGACTAATAAGCTTACTGCTATAATAAATAATATATAAAATTTATTTTATAATTAGAAGCATAAATACAACAGCTGTGGGTATATACAATACATGTATTATATTATGAACAATAAACATTATTTATGAAGCACTGAGCTTCTTGACTGAATGTTTTGATTTGGCTAAATAAATATTAAGTTATAAAGGGTACATGTATTTGCATAAGTCACAAAACATTTGTTAACTGAACCTTGTATGAAGTTGAAACCTGTCCAAACAGAATAGATTTTCTGATAATGGAACAATGAATATTCTAATTTGGACCATATTACTATCTAACCCATGTCATTGAGGTAAACTCCCAGAATACATTGCGCACACACACACATACATACATTGCTATATGTTCCGAGGACCTCGTTGAATTAACTTTTAATATAGTTGCGATATGAACTCAATTAAAATACGTTCCTATATAGGGTTGCGTTTTAATTGGAGTTTAATTAAACTCAATTACAATGCAATTCAATGTAGAATTGCATTTTAATTAAGTTTAATTAAACAAGTCATTGTCAATGACACGTCCCCGTTCCGTTCATATTTGAGTGACATATACATTCAAAGCAGATCATGACCGAAATCTCAGACCACTTTCAGTGGTCTGATCCGAAATGCACCTGCATATGTACAACACATTGTACTAAATCTGAACAAAATCCATCCATGCATGACTGAGATCCGGTTCCGGAATTGTGAAAATACGTGATTTTGATGCATTTTCGGCCTTAAAATGGCCATCATTCAGCTATTGTTAAGCGGATCATGAAACAAATGCACATATCTATTTGTGACATGATGTACCATGTGTGTGTGAAGTTTGAACTTGATCAATCCAGACATGTCTCGGATACGAATCCAGAACTGAATTCTTTAAAACAAAATGGCCGCCAGTCGGCCATTTTGAACTTGATCAGAAAAAAAAAAAAATGTCGTGCATCAAGGTCCTATTATGTTTAGTGTATGTACCAAATTTGAACAAAATCCGTCCATGAATAACTGAGATCCGGGTCTGGAATGGTGAAAATGTGCGATTTCAATGCATTTTCGGCCTTAAAGCGGCCGCCATTTGGCTATCGTTAATCGGATCATGAAAAAAATGCATGTGCATATGTCCCATATGCATGTGCATATGTGCATATGTCCCATGTGATGTATAAGTGAAGTTTGAACTTAATCGGTTCATGCATGTTCGAGATACAGGTGATCACAGACGCACGGTCGCACACAGGGCAAACCTTAAGTCCCCGTTTTCGGACTACGTCCGAACGGGGACTAATAAAAGTTGAATATTCTGAGACTGAACATAGAAATGTTTGCAAAGCTTAGGTTTAGTAAAAGGGGAAGGTATGGTACAATTATATTAATATTAACTATGACTAAATGAACGGCATCAACAGGCAATGTGTTTAAGGTCCACTGGAGATTTTCTTATAGAACAAAATGTTTTTGTAAGGTTCAGAATCAAATTTTATTTCACACGGTTTTATTTAGAATTTTCATGAATTTTTCTTTAATTTTTTTCTGAAATTTTTGAAGAAACTGTGCTTATTTTCGGGGGGCTTACCGGTAATCTCTTTACACAGTGATTTAGCTATAATTTTCACACATGTTGTTATCGTCATTTGATAGTAAAACAAAACCAACAAAACAATTTTGCTTATACAAGAAAATAAATGTCAATTAAAACAAGCTGCCTCTTTGCTGAGATAACTCCACTGTTAGCAATGCACAAGAATTGATATCACAAAATAAACAAATCTTAGAGAGGCCGTCCTGTAGTTCCTATATGTATAATGTCAAAGCAATCGGATTTGCGGTCGAAAATATCACTTTTTACCAAAAATGACAAGAATATTCACCAAAATTAGAGAATTAAAGATATAATTACAAAATGAACAAATCTGAGAGAGGTCAACATGTAGTACCTATATATGTAATATCAAAGCAATTGGACTTGCAGTTTTTAACAAGAAGTTAAAACTATCACTTTTTACCAAAAATGACAAAAATATTCATCAAAATTAAAGAATTGAAGATATCATCATGAAATGACCAAATCTGAGTGAGGTCCACCTTCAGTGCCTATATGTATTAAATCATAC